TGAAAAGTCTTGCTCCCTTAGTCACCAAAGCCAACTTCATCAGCAGAGACAAAAACTGGGTTGGTTTGTGGAGAATTGTTCCCAGTGAGTCATTTAGGTGGGTTTTCATCACTCTGTTGTCCTCCAGTGGCCAAATATTGAACCGGTTATGTAAAAACTTCTGCGGGGTTTTCCCAGGGACTGGAGGCAAGGTAACTCATCCACGGTTTCCTGACTCCACCACTCTCCTCTCTCTCCCACCAGATTCATTAGTGATTCAAAGGCTGTTTCATGACATTTCACAAAATTTCCAGGCTGAGCTTTTCCCAAGTTACAAAGTGGACACGTCAGCCCCCTCTTCCTACCCCCCGAACCTGCACCGTTAAACGAAGCTGAATATTCCATCAGGATTTTGGGGAAGATTGAAGGCAGGAAACATGCAAATTCTTTGGTGTTCTGACAATGCTTCTTAAGGGCTTGTTGCCACCTCACCTACATCAAGGTGAGATTAAGGTCAGGTTGGACAGAGCTTGGAGCAACCTGGGATACTGGAAGGTGTCCCTGCTCATGGCAAGGGGTTGGAACAAGACGATCTTTAAGGTCCTTCCAACCCAAACCATTCTATGACTCTGTGGTTCTCTGATCCCATAAAGCCCAGGCTGACGAAATAATGACAAAAGCAATAATAATAATAATGAAAACACACTGCACTCCTGGAATAGAAGGAAAATTATCTGAATTTCCATCTACTGTCTCCTTTGCCCACACTCCCTCCAGCGTTCCCTGCCAGCCACTGCACAGCACTGCCGAGCCCTTCGCTGGCAGCATTTCCAGGAGCAGCATCCCCTCGCCTGGAGCCTGGTCGTGCTCCTCGCCTGCCCCAGTGGCTGTTCTCTGAACCCCTCGTCTCCCGGCTGCGGGCTCTCGTTCTGACATCCTCTGCTCCGTGGGTCAGACGTTGTTAATCTCTCACTCCCTGCCTGGCACTTGATGGGCGGCTCCTCTGCTCGGCTCTCACAGCCTCATACCAGAGCTCACCTCTAATCCGAGTGCTCCCTCGAATCAGCGTCCTAAATCAAACCTGTCTTTTCCTTTTAAGTTCTCCAGGCAGTCCTTGTCCCTAGTGCTTCCATCACACCTCTCCCAGGACTCCCTCAATAAGCATTTCTAGCCTGGCCTCAGGCCATTTATCACACAACAGAGGCTGATTTGCCTCACAAATGACTTGTTGCACAGCCAGGACTCACATCCTATTTCTTTACTTGTTTTTCTTCTCCTTTCCCCCCCTGCCCGCCACTTCTCTTTTTCCTGGCTGCCTCTCCTCCCTGTCCCATCCCTGAGGATGTGACATCCTCACATCCCCCTGGCTGATGGGGCATTTGAATGGAGCACAGAGAGAAGAAAATGAGTATTTTGACTGGTGCTGTTTGCTCCTCATTTGAACTCAGGGCAGTGCACTCAGGTCTAGACACCTCTTGCAGGCTCTACTCTTAGCAGACCCGAGCCTCACCTGCCAGTGCCTGTCTTCCCAACAACTCCAAAGGAATTATAACATGTCCATGGATCCCACACCAGTGTCCTCAGGTACCCAGAGACTGGTGTAGAGCTTTTGGTGGCACTGGCCCACTGCTGGTGGTGGCACAGGAGCTGCTTCTCAGCTGGGAAACAGTTCTGTCCCTTCTGCCTTCCTTCCACGGGTCTCCTCCGAGTGGAATGGGGTTGCCAAGGTGGGTATCAGGCTCAGATGAGCTTCCAACCCTCCTCCAATTACCTGCTGTTTCAATTCCCCCGTGTTGTTGGCTCTGTTCATCCCAGCTGGATCTTTCCACAAGATCCTGACACTTCCACCTGCGAGTGGCATCAAAGGAATTCCCCAAAGCCTGTGGGGGCTCCAGAGATGACGCTGACAGAGCAGGGATCGATAGGGACGTGCCAGGAGGAAAATTCCCTGAGCCCTGAGTGATCTTTGCAGGGCTGGCTGCGGGGAAACACTTCTTTTCAAGTAAGACCCTCGGGAGGAATCTCTGGAGAGCTCTGAATGAAATGCCCACCAGGCATCTTTATCCCTTTATTTTTTTCAACCTCTCCAAGCACACTGGAAACAGGATTTCAGGCTATTTTCTCAGAGGGCTGTACTCACCCATGGCAGCTTTTATTTCTCTTGGAAGAAAATACATAAACAAACAGATATATATTCATCCATATATTTTTCTTTCCCATGTCACCAGCGTTTACTCAGGAGTGTAATTAGGAAACACAATTGCCCCTGGATTGAACCTTTCCCTTTATACACATTGCCTAATTTCACTGCCCCTGTGCACATTCATGGACTTAAATGTGTTTTAAACTATTAATTTGCAAGAACTGTGTTTACATCTGTGTAAAACAATTTGAACCTTAACCTCAAGCCTCCTGTTAAGCAAATATTAAATTATAATTAAAGCAGGTATAATATCCTTTGTGTTTTGAGTTGTGATTCTTTGCAAGGCGGGAGTAGGAACTTTGCAACTAGAAATGCTCTGGTGCAGATGAATATTAAGTTTCCAAACCAAACAAGAAACGAATCTGAACCTCAGGGCATCCTTTAACAGAAATTACTTCAGATTTTCCACCTCCAGTGATGTCTTTATAGCACAGCAAAGCTGATCCAAACGTGTGGAATGCTGCTACCTATTGGAGTGATCAAATACAACACTCAGCTCTCAGCTAGAAGACTTAAACCTCTCCAAAATAAAAAAATGGAGCAGAATTTGCCTGATGTGAAATGGCTCACACAAGTGACCATTCAGACACTCGGTGGACGGGTGACAATACAACTGAGTGGATGTAAAAGAGACCTTGGAGGAATTACAGAAGTGAAATTCGTGGAAATGGATATTAATGCCAGGAGGGGCAATTTGATTGGGGAATACAGGTAGAAGGATGAAGGAGGGGAGGATCCATCATCTCCTGTTTCAGATACAGATGACAGCAAAGAGTGGCCACTGCTGAGAATCCCTGGGTGGTGATGGAAGGGGAGGAGGAGACTCCCTTTAATTTCCCTGATAGGAATTTGGAACCAGGTGGGGGGTCAGGATCTGCTCCCAGGGAACAAATGATAGGGCACGAGGAAACTGCCTCAAGTTGTGCCAGTGGAGGATCAGACTGGCTATTAGGGAAAATCATCTTCACCGAAAGAGTTGTCCAGCCCTGGCACAGCTGCCCAAGGCAGTGGAGTCCCCATTCCTGGAGGGATTCAAAAGCCTTGTGGACATGGCACTTGGGGACATGGGTCAGTGATGGCCTTGGCAGTGCTGAGGGATGATCTCAGAGGGGTTTCCCAACCTTAAAAAGTCTGTGAAGATTCCCGTGGGTGACCTGTGAGCACTAGAAAGAGGACAAGGCGACACAGAACTGCTGGTGTTCATCCAGTCTGTCATTCCTTAGGGAGAGAACAGTGCTGATGGGATTCCAGGAGAGGTATCCAGAGAATCAGCTGGGATCCAAACCCCCTCTGGGCTAGAAGATGGACACCAGGAATTCAGGTTACAGAGCAGATAAGGGAGGGAAGGTGAACCGTGCCCGAGACTGCCCAAGCAGGTCTCTTCTGCATAAGAATTTTGTCAGGACAGGACAAAAAGAAACAAAAGAAGGCTCTTCTAGGGTTGATTCTGATCTCCAGGGATTTCCTCTCAGTGGAAAACATTAAGTGAAACTTTCAAAAGGTGAGAGATTTGTCTCTCAGGTCTGGGAGGACTGGGAGGTATTTATTTGTTTTCACATCAGTCAAGCCTGATGAATCTGACCTGAAAGTGCAGAGAACTGGCAATAAAGTGTGAGGAGAACAAACACTGTGAGGATTCCTGACAGCTGGATATGGCCTTAGAGGAGCATGAAAGCACCAGCTGGATACCCTTCTTTAAAGTAGGGAGTGGAGCAGTCAGAGCAGCCAGTTTAATAGGAATGGAATGTAAACTACCCCTTGTCTGAAAGGGATATTAAAGAACAAAATATTACACTCAGATGCAAAATGTAGCCAGAGAGAAAACACAGGAGGCTGCCTACAACTCCAGTTAAGTGCTCTGGAGAACTCAGCAGCACATGGTAGGTTTGGGGCGCTGTTCTTCCAATAAAACAAACTGAAGAGTAGCTAAAACTCAGAAAATATGAATGACCAAGGGCTCAAAAACAAGATCTGCATGAAAAGATTGCTGAATAGCAGTGGTTTGGTTCAGCGAGTAATCAATGAGGGGTTGGTTCAGTCTTCAAATAGGATTTGTTTCAGAAAGGAAAAAAAATCCTCTCTTCCCCCATCAGAGATGAGTAAGACAAGAAGCACTGAGAGGATATTGTAGGAGGGAATGTCTGTGTTCATAACAGGATCTCCAAACACTTTGAAAAGGAGAACAGAGATATAATTTGCCTGAAGATGCTTCAGGTTGGAGAGGGACTTTTTACAAGGGCCTGGGGGGACAGGACAAGGGGGAATGGCTTCCCACTGCCAGAGGGCAGGGTTAGATGCGATACTGGGGAGGAATTCTTGTCTGGGAGGGTGGTGAGGGGCTGGGATGGAATTCCCAGAGAAGTTGTGGCTGCTCCTGGATCCCTGGAAGTGTCCAAGACCAGGCTGGACGGGGCTTGGAGCAACCTGGGCTAGTGGAAGGTGTCCCTGCCCGTAGTCAAGGGGTGGATCTGGGTGATTTTTAATGTCCCTTCCAACCCAAACCATTCCATAACTTTGTGAAGTCGCTGCTTTTTGACATCTTTAAGGAGTTTTGTAGCAGGAGCTCAGCGATGACAAGTTGAGCTCTATCACAGCAGGGCAGGCAGAGGATGCTGCTCAAGGCGCCTCAGTTTGCGTGCCCCCTTTCCCATTCCCTCCCACGACAGGAAGATTTGGGGAAATTCAGGGATGTTCTCGCCCTCAGTTCCCTGGAATATTCAGACCGCCCGTGTCCCGTGTTTTCAACCACACCCCGAGCGTTGCCCCGGCCCCGAGAACGCCCCACACGCAACCCCAGGCGCGTTTTAACGCATTTAATTAAAATTTTAGCAACTTTACAACCCCTCCGTTCTCATTTTGGTGCCCGCCGAGCTCGCCTGTTTTAAAACTCTTTCACTACACGCCCTTTTTATGCGCCGGAGGTGACAAAAGTCCCCGTGAGGGGAGGAAGGCCCCCAAGATGGCGATGCTGGCGGAGCGTGAGTGGCGATCCCGGCGGGAATATCCCGGGAATGTCCCGGGAAAGGGGACGGGGAGCGGCCCCACAGCCCTCGCTGAGGGGTCCGGGCCGCGCTGCCCCTTCTGAGGGGGGTGGGGGGGTGTCGCGGTGCCGGATAAGGGGTTTCAAGGGGTCCCTGGTGTTGAAAAACGGGAGGTGTGAGGGCTGGGAAAGGCAGGGATGAGGATCCAAGTGGTGCCATTCTTAAGGAAAAGGGAGGTCTGGGGTGTGGGAAAGGCAGGAATGAGCGCGTAGGGGTCCCGGGATCAAGGAAATGGATGGTTGGGGTCTGGGAGACTCAGGGTGGCTGGGAATGGGGTTCAGGGGGTCCCTGGTGTTGAGAAATGGGGGATCCAGGGGCTTCAAAAGGCAGGAATGGGGGTCAAGGAGGTCCCAGGGTCATAGGATATTAGAGATTGGGGTCTGGGAAAGGCAGGAATGGGGGTCCAGGTGTTCACAGTGTCAGGAAAAGGGAGACCTGGGGTGTGTGAGACCCGGCATGGCCAGGACAGGGGTCCAGGGGGTCTCCCATGTTGAAGAAAAGCATGTCAGGGGACTGCAAAAGCCAAGAATGGGGTCCAGGGTGTCCCATGGTGAAGGAAAAGGGGAGGTCTGGGAGCTGGGAAAGACGGGATGGGTGGGAAAGGGGCTGCAGGGGGTTGAATAAGGGGGGCAGGGGGGTCCTTTGTGGGGTCTGTTGCATCCTGGGGATGCTGTGCCAGGGGAGGCGTTAGGTTGGATTTTTAGGACAAGGTTCTTCCCCCAGAGGGTGTTTGGGCACTGAACAGGCTCCCCAGGGCAGTGGGCAGAGCTCAAAGAGCGTTTGGACAACACTCTGAGGTACAGGGTGGGATTGCTGGGTTGTCTGTGCAGGGCCAGGTGGATGATCCTTGAGTTGTGGGTCCCCTCCAACTCATCATATTCTATGATTTTATCAGCTTTGTTTAACTTTTTCCTGATCCTGGAAACAAACAGAGCTTCACTTTTGCCTCTGGGGTGATTGAGAACTTGGGCTCCCCATATCTAAAAGAATGGATTAAAATATTGGGTGAATGTCCTGTCTGGTATGAAGAGAAAGAGAAAGAAGAGAAAGATAAAGATAACTCTTATCTCTGGAGTTCAGGAAACAGAATCTCTCAGGGCTGGCCACAGTAGGGACTAAAAACTTTTGCTGCATTCCAAAGTAGTCTTTCCTATTAAATGTAAAACACTATATGAGTAAAAACACTAAACTCAACTGGATTTTTATGTAACAGAACTAATATTCTCATCCCTATCCCTGAGTATTGTTAATATTCTTCGGTGCTTTCAGTAAAGTTAGCTGCTGTCAAAACACCCTTAAAATGAGAGCACAGAATCTGGTGAATTTGTTTGCTTGACTGCAGGAAATAGGGACTATAATGAGTAGTTAAAAATTATGGTTTCCAGTGGAAAATACAGGTGTGAAATAAGGAGAACAAAATTGCATTTGCATATGTGATTTTCTGGTTATTTTAAGTGTGAACTTTGGTGCCATTTTTTCAGGACTTGTTAATTATTTTAATTGGACACTGCACATGTCAGTAATCATAGAGTAATGTGGGGTGAAAGGGACATTTAAAACTCATCTCAGTCCACCCCCTTCCATGGGCAGGGACGTCTCCCACTATCCCAGGTTGATCCAAGCCCTGTCCAACCTGGCCTTGGACACTTCCAGGGATGGGGCAGCCACAGCTTCTCTTGGCAACCTGTGCCAGGGCCTCCCCACCCTTACAGGGAAGAATTCCTCCCCAGTATCCCATCTGTTCCTGCCCTCTGGCAGTGGGAAGCCATTCCCTGTCCCTCCATCTCTTGTCCCCAGTCCCTCTCCAGCTCTCCTGGAGCCCATTTAGGCTCTGGAAGGGGCTGTGAGGTCTCCCTGGATCCTTCTCTTCTCCAGGTGAACACCCCCAGCTCTCCCAGCCTGGCTCCAGAGCCCTGTCTTTCCTGTGACCCCTGACCATCCATGGGCACACAGCAGGATTTGGATGGGAACTTTCAGAAATCATAGTTACAAACATGCCCCAGGCCCAGAATTAGTCTTGGCAAAAGGGTTTAATAATGGATATTTTTCAAATTATAGGATATCTGAGTGAAGAGGTTGAGTTGTCCAGCCCTGGCACAGCTGCCCAGGGCAGTGGTGGAGTCCCCATCCCTGGAGGGATTTAAAAGCCGTGTGGATGTGGCACTTGGGGACAGGGGTCAGTGGTGGCCTTGGCAGTGCTGTGGGAATGGTTGAACTCGCTGATCTCAGAGGGCTTTTCCAACCTCAGTGAGTCTGTGATTCTATAAAGAAATGACAATTTTCTCCACTGGATGGTGCTGCTCACCCAGAGTTGCATCACTTCATCAGCAGCCCAGAAGGCTGGTGTTAAATTATGAGCTGAATCTTTTAGCTGGAAGTTAGTACCCTGTGTCCTGCCTCGCTCATTAAACGTCAGAGAACAAACATTTCTGATAAATTATTGATTAAACAGTGTTTTTTGTTGTTTATTTGCAAATGGAGGATGATTTTATGGTTCCTGTAGGTGGCATGGAGCTGTTTCCAACTTCCTTAAATTCTTCTCTAAAGGTGAAAGCAAGTTTGTTTATGCTTTTTTTTCCTGCATTTATCTTATCCTATTTAAAAATAAGAGTATGTCAACCTTGTAGAAGTGTGAGGATTAATCCCACAGTGGTAGTTAAGAACTTTGAAATACATGGATTGCAAGTGCTCTTAATTTCAAGGTTAAGAAATATTTGTGTCAGGTGCCCTGGTGTTTCTGTTACAAATGTCTTGCGAGTAAAACATCTCAGGGGCTTCTGCACAGGGAGATATTCAGGAAAAATAACAGCAAGTAAATTCTGAAGTGGATTAGTTGGGCTGCCTCAAACAACTCAATTTGGAAGTTAATTTAAATTCAGCCATTCAGTTGTCGTGGATCACTTCACTGTGCAGACAAACCCTTAGAAAAAGGCAGTGGTTTAACAGCTGTAGGAGTTGGGATCTGCAAAGTCACCACCCAGGGAACTGGTAACAGAGAGTGTTAAAGAGTATGGGCATCCTTATAAAATGTTGTTAAAATTTAAAAAAGGCATTGAATAGTTTCTGGTGGCTGAGTGAGGGAAAGCTGATGTTAATTGAGAGATTTTAGAGGTAGAGATGAAGAAATATGATTGAAAAGGAGGGCAGCTGCTCAGCTGGGCAGCATAAACCTCTGGTAGAATCCTGGAATCAAAGTCATTAAGGTCGGAAAAGAGCTCTAAGATCATTGAGTCCAGCTGTTCTCCAGCACTCCCAAGTGTCACCCAGGTCCCCATGGGCCACATCCCCATGGCTTTTAGTTACCTCCAGGGATGGGGACTCCACCACTGCCCTGGGCAGCTGTGCCAGGGCTGGACAATCCTTTCCATGAAGATGTTTTTCCCCACTATCCAACCTGAACCTCCCCTGGCACAACTTGAGGCTGTTTCCTCTCATCCTGTCCCTTGTTCCCTGGGAGCAGAGCCTGACTTCCCCCTGGCTCCCCCTCCTGTCAGGGAGCTGTGGAAAGGGAAAAGGTTCCCCCTGAACCTCCTTTTCTCCAGGCTGAGCCTCTCCAGCTCCCTCAGCTGCTCCTGGTGCTCCAACCCCTTCTCAGCTCCATTCCCTGCCCTGCACACGCTCCAGCCCCTCAGTGTCTCTCTTGTCTGAGGGGCCCCAAACTGCCCCCAGCTCTGGAGGTGCCCCAGCAGTGCCAGCACAGGGACAGGCACTGCCCTGGCCCTGCTGCCACACCAGGGCTGGTCCAAGCCTATGGAATTGCTTCTTTTGTTGCTTCCCCACCTTTTGTTGGCAGCACAGCCAGGGCTTGGAGTAGATCCTGCTCTGAAGGCTGCCTGGTGGGAATAATCATTGAATCCCAGAATGGTTTGGGTTGAAGGGACCTTAAAGATCATTTCATTCCAACCCCCTGCCATGGGCAGGGACACCTTCCACTACCCCAGGTTTCTCCAAGTCCCGTCCAGGCTGGCCTTGGACACTTCCAGGGATGGAGCAGCCACAGCCTCTAAGGTTAATAAGTTGTTTCCTGTGGAGAAGTGAACCAAGCAAAGGCCTTGTCAACTCCTCTCACAGCTCTTGTTCATTTAATCTGCTGTAAAATCTTTTTATGGATCTTTCTTTTCTGAGCTTCAAAGCTTCGGAAGTTTGTTAAAAAAAACCTCCCCCTGTGCACCTGACAGTGCTGGTTCTTTCACAGCAAAACTAAACAGGGCAAAAAGTGAGTCAAACATCCCTGTAATATTCAGTCCCTCTGGCCCAGATCCCAAATCTGGTGTTTTAGGGAATGATGACTTCCTGATTACGATGAAAACACCTCAATGGGTTTGGTTTCTCCCTCACTTCGTGTGGCCTTGGGTGAACGGGTCATTTTTGATCCCTCGTTTCCCATGGTGGTTAATGAAGTTTGTGATCTTCCTGTCTCCCATCCTTTGTTTGTCTTGTTTATTTAGCTTCTCTTCCTGCCCGTGCTTAGGTGCACACTTGAAGTGCCTTGTTAACAGGGGTTGGCTTTTCCTCCTTGATTTCCAGGAAGCTATTCCTGGTGGGAGAGGCAAGAACACGCACGTGGGCCTGGGGGACTGGAGTTTCTTCAGGAATCTGCATAGGACAAAGGAGCTTTGATTCTCCTTTGGATCTCTTAACTCCTGCAAGAATTTTTAATGACTTTTCCCAATAAGTTTCCCCATTTTTGGCAAACCCAGAAGTTGAAATCCCACTTGTTGTTGTTCTGTCATCTCTGGGCATTTATATTTCATTTTTGATTTATTTTTTTGTTGTGAAGGCAAGTATTAAAACTTCTGTGTTGTGGTTAAAAGGAAGACTGGATAATGAATTTTGTCCAGAGCTGGGGAAGCAACACTGTAATCACCCTCACCCCCAGACTTCCAAAAATTGGAGTAAATATGGAATTTAGGCCTGTACACTTACATGGTAGTCCTTGAAGCCTTCCCTGAATTGCAGCTCATCCTTAGGGACAACAACTTCCAACTTTGGGGTTTGGAACTAGATGATCTTCAAGGTCCCCTTCCAACCAAGGTTCTATGATATCAATTTTACTCTGGCATTCTTCACATTAATAATGCAAAGAATTTGTTTTTGCTTATTGTTGGGTTTTCCGTTAAGTAAAATTAAACTCCCAAATATATTCAGCCTGGAGTAAGTTCTGGGGTGTTTTTTTTTTTTGGCAATGAGGAGCTGTAGCTGAACTGATCCCATACCAGGAACACCGTGGGAATGTCAGTAGAGCCTGTTTGAATTTTTCCTCCCTGTCCCAGCCCGGAGAAAGCAGAAGTGGTCCGTGGATCCACGAAACAGCGCTTGGAGCAAAGATGACTCTAAATTCGGCCAGAAGATGCTGGAAAAGATGGGCTGGTCCAAAGGAAAGGTAGGATCCAAAGGAGGATTCCATATCTGAAGGGTCTAAAACTGCCAGGGAGCTCTGATTTGTTCTCTTAAGCGCACAGAGAATTTGAGCAATGTTGGATTTCTGCGCTGTGGTGCAAAGTTTGTGACTCTCCTGCTTTCCGGTTTCTCTCCCTTCTTTGGCAAGTTCATGTCCCCAGAGAGGAGCAAGAGTTGGCATGTTAAATTAGGTGATTGATAAAGTCTTTTAAGTTGCTTTTATACTCTCAATTTTCTCCCTGCTTTTGGTTTAAAGCAACTCCAGGACCTGCTTTAATCTTTCACCTGTTTTTAAGTGTCGCTTCTGATCTGTTCCTTGAACCCCCAAAATGCAGCGTTCTGGGAGCTGAATCCCTTCCCAGCTCCAGCCAGTACCTGTGGGTGAGGACATTAGTTTCTGGCACTAAGAATAACCTCTGGGTTATCCTGCAAACTCCTCAGCTGCCCCTAAAACCACTTTTAATTCCACAGAGATGCCTCAGCAAAGCTGAGATTTGGGCCTGCACATCAGCGTGTTTAGTGCTAAGAATGCACACAAACCCCCCACTACCTTTATTTAATTCTCCCTCCTGTATTTCTTCTCCCAGACTTTCTTTAACAGGACTACAATTAGGATCATTCTCCCTTCTGTGAACACTTTAAAAGCTGTTCTTGCATTTCTCAGTGTAGCTGCTCAGTTTCTCAGTTGCCTCATAACAAGAAGCTTCCCACTGGAGCTGCTGGATCTTCCCTTCCAACGGTTACAGCTGTAAAATAAGGATTTCTCTCTCCATTCCACTACAGACTCAAACAAATGGAACCTCACCTCGATCAAATTAATGGTCAAAAGCCCATCTCTGCAGTGAAATGAAGCTGCTTACACTAGTCCTGTTACCAGTTGTGTTGGAATTGGGTCAGGGCAGGATGTGTGGCCGAGTGGCCTGTTTGCTTCCACACTTTTTTTTTTTTTTTTGGTTAGCAGGAGTTTCAAGGGAAAATTTCCACCCCAGGGACCAAATGAACTCAAGTGGATTTGTAATAGCAGCAGCCTTTTTCCAATATGCCTCATTCCTCCAAATATTAGATATCCCAGGATCTCTCCACAGGGCTTTTCCCCATTGCTGCACCACGTCCATGTTTATTAAAGCCAACACGCTTGGCTGGTGATTGGTTACTGGTGACAAATTAGGCAAAAAGCAGGTGAATACCAGGAATAAGGTTATAAACCAGATGCTTTGTCTTCTATTTTTTTAACCCTGATCATACAGTTAAGAAAGACAACACTGGACCTGAGAATTACTCCCCAGGTTTGAATGATTGTGGGTTTTAGGATGGAGAAACCCCATAGTTGTTTGCTCCAGTATTTCCATCAGAATGATGAGTGTGAATGAGGTGGAAGAAGTTGTTAATGCCCTGATTCTCCCCTGCCCCTCCCCTGATTCCTTCCCATATAAATTTATTCTGGATTATACTTTCCATGTGGATGGATCTGCCTTCCCAGTGACAGGTATTTTGGGGGAGAGGCCTCTTCTTTATATGTAGTGTCTTGTTTTAAAACTGTAAACACTCTGGGCTTGCTTAGGAATGTCAGGTGACTTCCTGATTAATCACCCAACTGCTTAATGTTGTTGCTATTTTAGTGTTTATAATACTTTGCTGGAGGCTTAAGTAGTAAATTTTAAAAACTGAGTATCTCATGTGTGCTAAAGCCTGTGAATGAATTCAGTTCAGGCAGGAAAACAAACAGCAAGTTGTGATTTCTCGTTGTATTTCTTTGCAAAGTCTTACAGTACAAAATCTCTACTCAGTCACTGCTGTGAAATCCTTACTTTTTACCTTTAAATCCCCCTTAGGGTCTTGGGGCTCAGGAACAAGGAAATCCAGAACACATCAGGGTGAAGGTGAAAAACAACACGCTGGGATTAGGAGCAAACATCAACCACGAGGTGAGAACTAGGCCCAGGTGAGGGAATGGCTCCCATTTCAGCTAAAACACAAATTTTTAAATGGAATATTAATGTCACATCTGGTGGTAGAATGTACCAAACAGGATTGTTTATGACCTACAAACACAACCCTTATAATTTTATCTCACTTTGGGGTGACTGTGCGAGCTGTTGGTGGTGTTATCCCCCTGTGGAGCTTCCCAGGGTCCCTCCACCCAGAAGGATTGAATATACCCGATTAAGTTATTACTTAATACCTGTTTTAGCAGAATTTGTGTTTCTTCTGAAGACTTTTGCCTTGTATTCACGTGGGTGATGTTCACAGGACAACTGGATTGCTCATCAGGATGACTTCAACCAGCTCCTGGCTGAACTGAATAATTGCCATGGACAGGGTGAAACAGGTAGGCTCGTGCTTTGCTCAAGCTCAGCAGAGTTTCCACTCTGTGTCCTAAAAGATGAGCTGAGGCCCAGTTTGGGCTCCTTGCTGAGGTTGGCAACTCCTCCTTCTCTCCCAAAATCGGTGGGAGCCAAAGGATGTGTTACCATCCATGACCATGCTGAAGTTTCTCTACCTGGATATGCAGATTTCTCAGTGGATCAGTTTTGTTCTCAGGACACAAATAAAGGCTTTTTGTTGAGGAAAGAAAACATAAAATGTTGAACTCGTTTATTTTATCCAGGATCGTGATATTTGGGACCTTTTCCTGGGCTGTACTACAGCAACACTTGTTTCTTTGTCCAGAGTCTGTCTGAAGGCTCACAACAATCACTCACAATTGCAGTGGTTTGCCTTCCTTTTAACAATGAATTGTCACTCCTGGCTTCCATGTTCCACTGGTTTCTTAAATACCTACTTTTCCTGTCCTTGGAGAGTTGCACCATAGCTTCTGATTCAGAGTTATGCATCTCTGCTTTGAGTGTGCTGTAATGTGATTTTTGTAGCCCTGGTGTTGAGCACACAAGTGAGGAAACCACAACTTTCCCAAAAGGGCTATTTATAAAGTCTCTTTATTTTTGAAAAGCTTCGTACAGCTTGACCCTGTGTTGTAAAAATGAAGTTGTGGTGGGTGTGAGCTTACAGAAAGGATTGGTTTATCCAATGGTTTATCACCTCTCCTTTAGTTAGACTCAGGTTTAAGTCAGATCATACATCTAAACAACTCTCTGGAGCTTAGTGAATTTAGCAACTCTTCATTCATTCATTCTTAACCTTTGAGCACTGAAGGTTTTCTTGGAGAGGAAATGCAGAAAGGTGAGGGTGGAAAATCAGTTAGCAAGAAGGTTTTCTAATCTTGGGCAACTGGGATTAAAATTTTGAACCTGATACTTTAAAAATACCTTTTTTTTGTTTAAACTGCTGTGTAAGTTCTCCTTGTGCCCTGGAGCCCTGATCGTGGGCTGAGGCCACACAGCACTCGGTGCTGTCCTTCAAGTCCTCGAGAGGTAGAAGAGCATATCACAGGGAAATTCCAAAAGTGCCTTTCTGCCTCTATAACTAAATCCTACCCAAGTTCCAACTTGAGCCATGGGAAGATGAGGAAGGTGCAGCTGGTGGGAAAACCTGCAAAGTGCTGGGCAGAGAGTTGAAGTGACATGCCCAGGGACACAGTGAGTCAGCACAGAGGCAGGTTCATTGAGCAAGGCTGTCTTGTTCCTAAGGCTGGGCAGTGTTCCCTGGGTCACTGATGCAAAATGCTCCATGAAAGCTGTATTTCTCCCTGCTTTAGTTAAGTTTTCCATCACTGAGAACAGATTTGGGTGCACACTGAAAATTCCTGGTCACAGACCCCTTGGGTGATTTACAGAAAATACAAAGCTCTCTAAAACTTGTTTTTTTGGCAGTTTGCTTAAGCTGGCAAAACTCATCCAGCAAACTCTGCCTGCAGCTGTGCTGCAGGATCAAATGTTACATTACTGGCCATCAGCCAGTCTCAAACTGCATTAAAAGTCAGCTGAAAAACTTCATTGTTCTTAAAGAGCTGCTGGAGTTGCCAGAGCTGGGTTGCAATTAGAGGTCGGAAGGGAAAGGCCCTGTGGGGTTTGATTTGCCAACATTCAAATACTCTCAGTGTAGTTTTACCTTTCTTTTCCTTGTTTCTAGGTGAGCACCCAGTGAGGGCAGGTTTAATTGGATTAGATGTTAGGAAGAAATTATTTATTTTGAGGATGGTGAGGCCCTGGCACAGGTTAACCAGAGAAGCTGTGGCTACCCCATCCCTGGAAGTGTCCAAGGCCAGGTTGGACAGGGCTTGGAGCAACGTGGGACAGTGGAACAGGGTTGGAACTACACGGTCTTTCCCACCCAAACCATCCTGTGATTCCTGGCTCTTTTGCTGGGATACTCAGTGATGAAATCTGTGTCCCTTTCCCATTCTTAAGGTGCAGAAACAACATCCTGGCTGTGCCTGTGACATGCCTTGGAACATCCATCTACAGAAATAACATGTGGCTTTCTCACTCGGACTAAATGGCTTTAAAAAGCACTTTAATATTCCTGCAGTGCTCACTCAGTTTGTCTGAGGATGTTTTTCCAGTCCCTGGAAGACACAGGGATGCACCTCCCTGCCCGTTCATTGCAAGTGCCAGCACGTTTCAGGAGTGAAATTCCTCCCTGGAGGCACAAGGCGGTGCTGCTGCGCCTTTCCCTGGAAGAGTAATGTGGGAAAGGAAGCGCTGTGAGAACCCTTTGCTGTGTAATGATCCTTCTGGTACGAGTAGCTCAGAGAACACACTTGAAGTGTCGTCTCTCTGCTCAGCATATTTAAGTTGTGATGCTTGTTTTCCCCACAGAACGTTTTTATTGAGGACTTTCTGTTAAAAACTGGGTTTGCTGGTCCTTCCTCTTCCCATTAGGGCTTAGTGTGGAAGTGGGAGGGTGGATCTCAGCCTTTTGGCACTGCAGGCTGAGGATTTCAGGTTTAGGTCAGTGATTCCATCATCAGGTGGCACTACCTATCAAACAGGGAAGTGCTGGAATTCCAGTGTCAGGAAAGCTTGGGCTGCAAAGCTTTCCAGGGTGGGATCACATAAAAAAGGTGACTCAACTTGGCCCTCAGGGTATGGGTTCATTTCCTTACCCATTCCCAGTTGCCACTGGGAGGGAAAAAACATCTCACCACAGTAACCTTTCCATGGAGTGACGGAGCAGAGAATCCTGTGGCGTCTATTTTCAGGACAAAACTAATAAAGTACTTATTAACTGTACAGCAGGTTAATTCTCTCCTTCTGAGATTTTTTTTTTTTTTGGTGGGAGAATTAACAGGCTCTGTGAGTGCAAAGAGAAGGTTTGTACCCCTAAAATAACCTGCCACAGCTCAGGAACGTGATGTCTCTACTGTTAAATAATGGGACTAATCCTTCATGTGGCTTTAAGCTGCTGCCAGTCTCCCAAACTTCTGAGTGAATCTGGGACTCAGCCAAGCCCAGAGGCCGTTCCCAGTGGACAGTTTAGATGCAATCCCTGTCCTGGAAACTAGGAAAATGAAATAATATGGATGTGGCAATTTGTTCTAGCTGGCCTGAGGGACAGAAAAGCTTTGCCACCATTCAGTTTCCTTAAACAGATGGATTAGCTTATGTCCAAATAAAGGTATTTTGTGTAGGGTTAGAAGTGGAAATCCTGTAATTTTTCCCCCTTTTTCTACCCAGACAGGTTCAGTATTTTATTTTGCACTATTTCTGACATCTTTCTCAGACTTTGGCACTGGGGATATTTTGTAACAAAGAGCACAATAAACCCTGACCTGTTATTGTTTCCTTGCCACAGAGGTGGATCTGCCTTAGACCTGGAGTGCCTGTATCTGCCTTTTCAAATTACATTGGATTGGAAAGGGATGTGGCAAAAAAAAATCAAGCAGTGACACGTCTCAGACAAAACCTGCCATGCTTCCTTCAGTGCTATATTGTGATATACTGTTGAGACTGGGTTTTGAGAGAGAAAGTTAAATACACTGGTGTTTGAATGTGATGGTCAAAGTGCCTCCAGCAGGGTTGGAACCTGTTTCTTTGGATTTTTTTTTTTTTTAGAGCCCTCAGTGAAAAATCAGAAAAAGACCTTCAGCCTCGAAGAAAAATCCAAATCTTCCAAGAAACGTGTCCATTATATGAAGTTTGCCAAAGGTAAGAGGGGTTTTGTTTTTTCATAAGCTCTGGCCAAGGTTAGAACAAACCCTGTCAGGGTGATCTGTTGCCTTCTGAAGTCTAAATCTGGCAAGTTAAATCTTGGTTTAGGAATACCCACTGCAGCAACTTGCTTAGAGCTATAATGTGCTGTCCCTCTTTATTTTGGGTAATTTTGGATGGCTTTAGGCTGACTTGTTGAATAAAACAGTTCCTACCTGAAGGAGCCACCAGCTGGATAAAGGAACAGTGAATATTCCAAGCTGTGGGTGCATGAGCAGGGGACGGGAGGGGGGAAAGATGATGATGGAGTGACTTATGACTTAAGATCTGCGTGGCACTATCCCCTGAGATCTCCAGTAACCCTGCTAAGAGATCAGGAGGATGGGATGAGGAATCAGATTAAACCTGAAGGAAGGCAGGAAAGCCCGCTTACGTCCACCAGATACTTTATGGGATAAATCAGGACAGTGGTCGGTGGCCAGAAAAACTATCAAAAACTCACGGAGTTCAGTAATTTCTTCCTTTCTTAGAGCAATGACATTATTTCAGTCATCCCTGGGTTTGGCTCCTGGCAGTTCTGGAATCCTCTCTCTGTTCCTCTGCTCCCCTTTGACACGCCCACGTGCACATAGTGTGTGTACCTGTTTCAGGGTATGGATGGGATCAGATCCACTAATGGCTGATTTATTAAACTGAAAGCTCTGTGCAGTGTTTCCTGACAGCAAATGCCTCTGCTGAAACAGAGCTAGTTGATGTGTGAATGGAGGTCAAATTTTTTTGTGTTGGGGTTTGGGATTTTTGATTAAACAAATTAGCCTTGGAGTCAAACCTGTTAACACGACCCTACCACTTTATGACATTAAACAATTAAATTGGTTCAGGCCTTGCAAGTGAAAAGGCCATGGCCTGTTTGAGGGAGTGGCAAAGAGGATTTATTTTGATTTGGATTTAACCTTTTGCTAAATATAGAGGAAAAAAGAAGTGTCTTTTGAGCATGTAAAATACAGATCAAGGCTTTCATATTCACAATATCCCTTATCTGTTTGGTCGTGTTTCCACAAGGCAGCCCCTTGTTTGCTTGCACCCTCTGTGGTCTAAACCAGGGAAATTGTCCTTTTTGCAGGGAAGGAGGAAAAAGTTATTTGAGAAGGGCTGGTGTTGTTGTGGCCCTTGTTGTTCAAGCCTGATCCTGCTTCCTTTCAGACTAAACAAGACAAGCTCACACAAAAGCTTGAGAAGGGAACAGCGACGACACAAAATGCAGCTTCCGTCTGCGGGGCTGGAGAGACACGGGGAGCACACACAGCCCTTGGATCTGGGAATACACACCAGTCTGAGATTAAAACACTGCGTGCAGCTGCTCTTCTAGCAGCTGTTCCACTGGGATGCTGCAGGAGGTTATGGATGTCAGCTGAGTTGGTTTTCTGTTAGAGAGAGAAAGAGGAGCAGGGGCAGGCACAGACAGAAAGTGTAGGGTAAGAGGAGGAGCAGGAGGATTTGAAGTGTCGTTTTCCAAACCTTGGCCAAGATAAAACTGAAAACAACCACCAGTCTCATCCAGCTTGCTTGGGTGAGGACATTTAGAGGCTGTGCAGTGAGGCACCAGGAAGCTGGGTCACACTTTCTCCTCTAGGTTGATGTGTGTGTTTGCCCTCTGTGGGCAGTTCAGGATCCCGAAGAAAAGAAACAGGTTAAATAGTCAGATTTTGGGTTGTTTGGGGTTTTTTTGTCCACTACAAGATTCATTTTGAGGTCAGTGATTTTGGAATGAGAAAATGAAGTGATTAAGACCCCAGTAGACTCTTAAGGAGTTGATCTGTCTGGACTAATTTTGTTTAAATCTTTAACTTTTGCTGAGCTTTTTTAAAAGGATTTTCTGAGAGAAGCTGTGGACAACCCATTATAAAGGTTTCTGCACTGTGGAATTGGCAAAACTTTTGCTTGAAACTCCAAATATCACATCATACCACACTCTTCTGCTTCCCCCTCCCTGCTCCATGTCTGATATCCAGTTAGCCACACAACAACCAGATGGGAATAATGGTCCTGCTGGGAATCTTTGCTTCACCCTTGAAATTGTTTTGAGTTGGGATAATCCAGTGTATCACAGAGATGGAGGTTTTGCTTTTCAGAAGCAACATCACGAATCAAAGTCAAGTCCCCATGGAGTAAAGATGCATTTTCTTTTTTTTCATTGTATGGAGGAACTACCACTCCCTAATTCTGTCAGAGACAGGGAATCCTCCTGAGAATCCAGAGATCCCACACATACACACATTTCCTCATGAGTACCTTCATTTAATGTCTTCATCACAGGATCACAGAATGGTTTGGGTTGGAAGGACCTTAATGATCATTAGTTCCAACCCCCTACCATGGGCAGGGACACCTTCCACTAGAACAGATTGCTCCAAGCCCTATCCAGCCTGGAGTCCCTGATTTTTAGTCACCTCCTAATAGTTGTTCACCTCCAAAAGCAATTCCTCTATCTCTGTGGGTTAGTTTGTGTTACCAGAATGGGATTTTTTTTTTTCCTCTCTTTACCCCTGCCAGGTAAGGACCTCTCATCCTGCAGTGAACATGATCTGTCCTGCATATTTGGGAGGAGACAGAAGAGTGGGAAGACACAGGTAAACAAGAAGCTTCACTTTTCTCTTGTTTCCTTGCTTGTTATCCCTCATAACAAAACAATGTTTAAATGTTTTGCTGCTAATGTGCTGTTTCTATTAGAAAGGCTGTGCTTGAACTGTGAGGAAATAAGAATGAATTTGATCCACATTTTGTGAATTACTGTGATGTAACTTCTTTGGAAGTTAAGCAACTCCAGTATTTTAATTTTACAGTTGTTAGGAAATGTACATCACCAAGGAGAATTTTGCTTCATCTGAAAGGTCGGAGGTTGGACTCGATGGTCTGAGAGGTCTTTTCCAACCTAAATGGTTCTGTGAAAGACCCATAAATATCCAAAGTAAAATTGGATATTCTGTAGCAACTGGGCAATCTCAACAAACTGCCCTTTAATTCTCACAAAAATTGGGAAAGGCTGAGCAGCTGCAAAGGATTCCAAGGTGGCTTGAACACTGATAAATATTTAATGAGGAGACCTTTCCCCTGACTTTGTGTAATGAGAGCAAGGTTTGTACTGGCTTTTATTTTATTTTATTTTATTTTATTTATGCATCCATTAGCATTTTGCACTTGCAGAGAAGAGACCTGCTGTATCAGTGTGTAAAATAACAGACACTGGGACAAAATCTAGAAAAATTCCGTGGAATTTTTCCGAGTCCTCTGAAATCTCCTGTTTAGAGGGAAAGAAGGGGCTTGAAGTTGAGTGGAAGTTTCTGGAATGCCCAGTATGTGTTTGACACCTTGCTCCTTGTGCAGTACTCTTGGAAATTGTTCAGGAACTTCACATCAGGCCTCTGGGAGCTTTGGGAGGAGAGGAATAAGGGGAGAATGTGCTGAGAGATCCGGGATAGTAGTGGAAATAATACAAGGTTTTTTACCTGTAGAATGACAGGGGAGCTGGTGAAGAAGGAATGGTGATCCAGCTGGGGATTCTTCCCTGGAAAACCCTCTGTAAAATAAAGAATATTTCTGTGGTATATCTTCACTTGAACAGTTTGAATGATTTGTGCCATTATCACGTACAGTGTTGTAATTCCAGTGAATCTGCTGTAGATTTTGATGTGGTTGGTAAGTTTATTGGTGACAGAGAGAGATGTCAAGTCTGTTCCTGAGTTCTCTGTAAAATACACTGACAGCTAATTAAACCAGGAGGCTGGAAGAAAGTTAAACAAACTAAGAACTGCCCTGTCTTGTCTGCCACTGCAAAAAACAGTGGGAACCTTTGTTACAAGTCATGTGGTTTGAAAGGTAAGAGCTTGGGACCAATCCATCAGGACCCATCTTAGCTTATTACTGTCTTGAAATAGGTAATTTGGGGACTTCAAATCCCTGACATTTGAAGAGCTGTTGGAGCTCTCAAATGCTGTGGGTGGACTTGCACCAAGGGAGCCCTGTTGGTTAACACTTCTGATCCCCTAAATATGCCATGGATTCCGTATCTGTTGAAACTCAGGTTTGGAAAGTGCTTCTCCTGGGGCTTTATCCTGGAGAACATTTGGTTTTTGATGGATAGACACTGCAGATCACGTGGATTCTAGGCTGCTTGTGAAGGGTGTATAACTCTGTGCATGTTTTTGCTAATCCCAGTGGTTGGCTGGTGGCTCCTGTGCAGATTTCCTTTTTTCCCCTCGCTGAAATGGTTCAAGGTTCTGGCAAAAAGAGTCACGGGCTGTTCCCTCTTAAGCACCCAGATTTCCACATGCAAATCCAGGCAGGAGGTAATGTCATTTGGAGCTGCATTGTCATCCTCTGGCTACTGTCTGCTGCTGAGCAGCCACAGGGAGGGACAGCCAGAGGCAGCACAATTGCTTCCCCCAGCCCCCCCTTCTCCTTTTCTTCATGGATCAGAGATCTGTGGAGTTTGCACACAACAAAAAATGCACTGCTCAGGCCCTCCAGCTCTGAGCAATTTCATTTCACTGCACCCATGAACTCTCATGATCCCTTTCCATCATGTTCCAGAACCTGGTCCTTAAGGTGGCACAAATGGAACTGTGAGGATTTGCAGGAGTTCTCTGTTGGCTTTCTGGTTTGAAATCCCTGAGCTCTGGGCACTTCCTTGGGGTGGCAGAGAGCTGACTACAGGAGCAGGAAAGTGCTGTCCTTCCTGGAAGTGAGTTGTTCCTATGTGTTCCTGTGTGCAGATAATGTAGGAAGAGTCCTGGTGTCCAGCAGAGCCCTGGGTAGGGCCTACAGGAAAGATGGAAAGAGACTGTTTACAAGGGCCTGGAGGGACAGGACATGGGGAATGGTTTCCCACTGCCAGAGGGCAGGGTTAGATGGGATATTGGGAAGGAATTCTTCCCTGTGATGGTGGTGAGGTCCTAGCACAGGTTGCCCAGAGAAGCTGTGGCTGCCCCATCCCTGGAAGTGTCCAAGGCCAGGTTGGATGGAACTTGGAGCAACCTGGGCTAGTGGAAGGTGTCCCTGCCCGTGGCAGGGGGTTGGAATGAGATGAGCTTTAAGGTCCCTTCTATCCCAAACCATTCCATGATTCTATAGCTTGAAGTCCTGTCTTTAAGGCTCTTTCCAAGGTATCAGATCCCTCCTCTTTGTTCAGAGGTGCACTTTGAGAAGCCTCCAGCACAGGTTTGATTTGGACTGAATGACCAATCCTCAGCTCACAACAGAGTTGTCATTCCACTCTTGACCTTCTGACAAAGGTATTCAGCATATTCACGTTTCTAGTTGTTTCAATCCGGGATCAGAACAATCTTGGGTGTAACTTCATGGAAAGATGCAGGAACTGCTTCTCCCAGTGACAGAATCGCTGAGGTTGGAGGAGTCCTGGAGGTTTCTGGATCAGTCACTCTGCTCAAAGCAGGGCCAGCTCTGGCAAGTCTGAATACAGGAGTTTGTCCAGCTGAGTTTTGATTGTCAGCCTTCCTTAAAGCCTCCAGTTCAAGTCTGTGACAAAATTCAGTGAATGGATGGAGGAGATCCCTTTAAGGAGCAGAAGATCATGGAATCATTAAGGTTGGAAAAGGCCTTTAAAGATCATGGAGTCCAAACGTCAACCAGCAGCACCACCACGTTCATCACTAAACCATGTCCATATCCACACTTTTATGAAGATTTTCAGGGATGGTGACTCCACTGCTTCCCTGAGCAGCCTGTGACAGTGCTTGACAACCCTTTCCACGAAGAAATTGTTCCCAATATCCGATCTAAACCTCCCCAGTGCCGTCCTAAGTCTGGCTGGTCGGTTGGATCATACCAGACTCGAAGATTAGGAAAAAGGAGGGAAAAAAGCAAAACCCAGGGAATTCCATCTGTGCTTATGGTCAAAGGGAAATTAATGGAAGGACTCAAGGCTCAGTGACACGATCTCTGGACCAGCAAGATAATCTGGCTCTTCTGAAGTGCTTGTCAAAAACAGTCACCTCTGAACTGGTGCTGTGATAAAGTGTCCCAGCACATCAGATGTGTCACAAAGCCACTGTTCCAATTAGCCCTGCCCAGTCTTTTCCAGTGTGGTCATTAGCAATCATTTTATGATCTCGACCTGTGGAGTAGCCTTTGGCAGGAGATGGTTTGTATGAACTTAATCTGAGCTGCCTTAACTGGAGAGCTGATCTCAGGCTCAGGTTTTCACTCAGTGGCCAAGGAGTGATCTGGGTGATGGATCCTTTGTCTTGTTTCACACCAGCACTGCTGCAGTAAGTGGGGAATGTTGAAACTTGGATTATCTACCTTATCAAAGGAAGAGGGAGTTGGCTGGAGGATTGTAAAGATTGCAAAAGAGTGGAATTGCAAAGGATGTGGAAGGAAATGCTGTTTGCCCCTGAGGGTCAAAAGGAGTTTCTCTAGAAGTAATAAAACCAAGACACAAGTTGAAGCTGTTGTTTTGATGGTTCTGGGATATGTGTTACTAATCAGAGGCACTTGCAGCCCTTAATTCTGAATGTCAAACACAGCAGTCCTTTTTTTTTTTAATTATTTTTGATAAATCATGTGCCCAACTCAAACCTCCTTAATAAACTACACAGGGACCTTTGTTTTTTAAAAAAAAAAAAAAGAAAGAAAATAAGTCAAAAAAACGAGGGGGGAAGAAAACAATGGCTAGGCTTCAGAGTGGACCTAAATTGAAAACGTCTGCAGTTTTTCCCAGGGAGAGCAGCAAGTGATCGAAAATATTGAATTGTAATTATGATGCTCTCTGGAGACCTGCAGAGAGGACCTGTTTTGCAGGGTAGGATCTTGCCAGACTGTTTTTTGCCCCCCTCCCCCTCTGATTTTCTCACTCACTCGGGAACAGTGGGAGCTGGGGAGACAGAAAAACAAATTCCATTAGTTCCTATCTGGTTGAACTTCCTGGAACCCCCACTATTTTTTTTTTTATTTTTTTTTATTTTTTTTTTTACTTCTCAGAATTTCCTTCCTCCATCCAGCTGTGTTTCCTGATGGAGCCTTATCACTGGAGAAAATGCTCCTGAGTGAGACTGAGGATTTGGGAATGAGTTACAGACGGTCTCAACTTGGTTGCTGAACAACATGAATCTGGCACTGATTTCGCTCTGGGGGCTGGAGGGAGTAGCTCTGATTTGCTCCAACTCGGTTTGAGGGGGCATAAAAACCTGAATGTTTTGCATCCACCTCACATCCATGTCTCAGGCCGTTCCATGAGTAATCTGCTTCCTCCAAATTTGTGTAACTTGGATGTAAAACCTGAGTAAGTTCCCTTAAGCCACCGAGTCCAAGTAGCCCGAAAGTCTCGAGTTTGCAGTGATCTCTTCCTTCTTAGTCATTAAAAAGTGGAGTGATCCACCCCTTTGCTTTTTCACTTTTTTTTTTTTAAAAAATCAGGAAATTGTCTTCTGACACATTTTGCAGAACTTCCTCAACTGACTTATATTTCCCAGCACTTATCAGCAAGGCATGTTGGCTAATCTTAAGGGACAGGACTGAAAATCCATTAAAATCTGGCTCTGCCATGGGCTCCCTGAAGTTATGAGTAAACTGAACATTCCCCTAGTTTTCTCTCTGCAAAATGCCAGTTTTT